CCTTCCAAAACTCTGGATTCTGATAGAGGGCCATGAGACTTAAACCTGAGTGCAAAAATGGAGGCTCTAGACCCTTCCAGAGCTGAGATATCGAAACTCAAAATTTCGACCAAAAAAAAAAAACGACAGTGGTACCCCTTACGTTTTTTTTTTTGGGCGAAAAATTAAGTTTCTCCAATCTTCTCAAAACTCTGGATTCTGATAGAGGGCCATGAGACTTAGACCTGAGTGCAAAAATGGAGGCTCTAGACCCTTCCAGAGCTGAGATATCGAAACTCAAAAATTCGACCCCAAAAAAAAAACGACAGTGGTACCCCTTACGTTTTTTTTTTTTGGGGCGAAAAATTAAGTTTCTCCAATCTTCTCAAAACTCTGGATTCTGATAGAGGGCCATGAGACTTAGACCTGAGTGCAAAAATGGAGGCTCTAGACCCTTCCAGAGCTGAGATATCGAAACTCAAAATTTCGACCCGAAAAAAAAACGACAGTGGTACCCCTTTCGTTTTTTTTTTTTTGGGCGAAAAATTAAGTTTCTCCAATCTTCTCAAAACTCTGGATTCTGATAGAGGGCCATGAGACTTAGACCTGAGTGCAAAAATGGAGGCTCTAGACCCTTCCAGAGCTGAGATATCGAAACTCAAAATTTCGACCCGAAAAAAAAAACGACAGTGGTACCCCTTTCGTTTTTTTTTTTTTGGCGAAAAATTAAGTTTCTCCAATCTTCTCAAAACTCTGGATTCTGATAGAGGGCCATGAGACTTAGACCTGAGTGCAAAAATGGAGGCTCTAGACCCTTCCAGAGCTGAGATATCGAAACTCAAAAATTCGACCCGAAAAAAAAACGACAGTGGTACCCCTTTCGTTTTTTTTTTTTTTTGGGCGAAAAATTAAGTTTCTCCAATCTTCTCAAAACTCTGGATTCTGATAGAGGGCCATGAGACTTAGACCTGAGTGCAAAAATGGAGGCTCTAGACCCTTCCAGAGCTGAGATATCGAAACTCAAAATTTCGACCCGAAAAAAAAACGACAGTGGTACCCCTTTCGTTTTTTTTTTCGGGCGAAAAATTAAGTTTCTCCAATCTTCTCAAAACTCTGGATTCTGATAGAGGGCCATGAGACTTAGACCTGAGTGCAAAAATGGAGGCTCTAGACCCTTCCAGAGCTGAGATATCGAAACTCAAAAATTCGACCAAAAAAAAAAAAAACGACAGTGGTACCCCTTTCGTTTTTTTTTTTTGGGCGAAAAATTAAGTTTCTCCAATCTTCTCAAAACTCTGGATTCTGATAGAGGGCCATGAGACTTAGACCTGAGTGCAAAAATGGAGGCTCTAGACCCTTCCAGAGCTGAGATATCGAAACTCAAAAATTCGACCCGAAAAAAAAACGACAGTGGTACCCCTTTCGTTTTTTTTTTTTGGGCGAAAAATTAAGTTTCTCCAATCTTCTCAAAACTCTGGATTCTGATAGAGGGCCATGAGACTTAGACCTGAGTGCAAAAATGGAGGCTCTAGACCCTTCCAGAGCTGAGATATCGAAACTCAAAATTCGACCCGAAAAAAAAAACGACAGTGGTACCCCTTTCGTTTTTTTTTTGGGCGAAAAATTAAGTTTCTCCAATCTTCTCAAAACTCTGGATTCTGATAGAGGGCCATGAGACTTAGACCTGAGTGCAAAAATGGAGGCTCTAGACCCTTCCAGAGCTGAGATATCGAAACTCAAAAATTCGACCCGAAAAAAAAAACGACAGTGGTACCCCTTTCGTTTTTTTTTTGGGCGAAAAATTAAGTTTCTCCAATCTTCTCAAAACTCTGGATTCTGATAGAGGGCCATGAGACTTAGACCTGAGTGCAAAAATGGAGGCTCTAGACCCTTCCAGAGCTGAGATATCGAAACTCAAAAATTCGACCCGAAAAAAAAAACGACAGTGGTACCCCTTTCGTTTTTTTTTTTTGGGCGAAAAATTTATTTTCTCCAATCTTCTCAAAACTCTGGATTCTGATAGAGGGCCATAAGACTTAGACCTGAGTGCAAAAATGAAGGCTCTAGACCCTTCCAGAGCTGAGATATTGAAACTCAAAAATTCGACCCCGAAAAAAAAACGACAGTGGTACCCCTTTCGTTTTTTTTTTTTGGGCGAAAAATTAAGTTTCTCCAATCTTCTCAAAACTCTGGATTCTGATAGAGGGCCATGAGACTTAGACCTGAGTGCAAAAATGGAGGCTCTAGACCCTTCCAGAGCTGAGATATCGAAACTCAAAATTTCGACCCGAAAAAAAAAACGACAGTGGTACCCCTTACGTTTTTTTTTTTTGGGCGAAAAATTAAGTTTCTCCAATCTTCTCAAAACTCTGGATTCTGATAGAGGGCCATGAGACTTAGACCTGAGTGCAAAAATGGAGGCTCTAGACCCTTCCAGAGCTGAGATATCGAAACTCAAAAATTCGACCCGAAAAAAAAACGACAGTGGTACCCCTTTCGTTTTTTTTTTTGGGCGAAAAATTAAGTTTCTCCAATCTTCTCAAAACTCTGGATTCTGATAGAGGGCCATGAGACTTAGACCTGAGTGCAAAAATGGAGGCTCTAGACCCTTCCAGAGCTGAGATATCGAAACTCAAAAATTCGACCCAAAAAAAAAACGACAGTGGTACCCCTTTCGTTTTTTTTTTTTGGGCGAAAAATTAAGTTTCTCCAATCTTCTCAAAACTCTGGATTCTGATAGAGGGCCATGAGACTTAACCTGAGTGCAAAAATGGAGGCTCTAGACCCTTCCAGAGCTGAGATATCGAAACTCAAAAATTCGACCCGAAAAAAAAAACGACAGTGGTACCCCTTTCGTTTTTTTTTTTTGGGCGAAAAATTAAGTTTCTCCAATCTTCTCAAAACTCTGGATTCTGATAGAGGGCCATGAGACTTAGACCTGAGTGCAAAAATGGAGGCTCTAGACCCTTCCAGAGCTGAGATATCGAAACTCAAAAATTCGACCCGAAAAAAAAACGACAGTGGTACCCCTTTTTTTTTTTTTTTTGGGCGAAAAATTAAGTTTCTCCAATCTTCTCAAAACTCTGGATTCTGATAGAGGGCCATGAGACTTAAACCTGAGTGCAAAAATGGAGGCTCTAGACCCTTCCAGAGCTGAGATATCGAAACTCAAAATTTCGACCCGAAAAAAAAACGACAGTGGTACCCCTTTCGTTTTTTTTTTTTGGGCGAAAAATTAAGTTTCTCCAATCTTCTCAAAACTCTGGATTCTGATAGAGGGCCATGAGACTTAAACCTGAGTGCAAAAATGGAGGCTCTAGACCCTTCCAGAGCTGAGATATCGAAACTCAAAAATTCGACCCGAAAAAAAAAACGACAGTGGTACCCCTTTCGTTTTTTTTTTTTGGGCGAAAAATTAAGTTTCTCCAATCTTCTCAAAACTCTGGATTCTGATAGAGGGCCATGAGACTTAAACCTGAGTGCAAAAATGGAGGCTCTAGACCCTTCCAGAGCTGAGATATCGAAACTCAAAAATTCGACCCAAAAAAAAAACGACAGTGGTACCCCTTTCGTTTTTTTTTTTGGGCGAAAAATTAAGTTTCTCCAATCTTCTCAAAACTCTGGATTCTGATAGAGGGCCATGAGACTTAGACCTGAGTGCAAAAATGGAGGCTCTAGACCCTTCCAGAGCTGAGATATCGAAACTCAAAAATTCGACCCGAAAAAAAAACGACAGTGGTACCCCTTTCGTTTTTTTTTTTTGGGCGAAAAATTAAGTTTCTCCAATCTTCTCAAAACTCTGGATTCTGATAGAGGGCCATGAGACTTAAACCTGAGTGCAAAAATGGAGGCTCTAGACCCTTCCAGAGCTGAGATATCGAAACTCAAAATTTCGACCCGAAAAAAAAACGACAGTGGTACCCCTTTCGTTTTTTTTTTTTGGGCGAAAAATTAAGTTTCTCCAATCTTCTCAAAACTCTGGATTCTGATAGAGGGCCATGAGACTTAGACCTGAGTGCAAAAATGGAGGCTCTAGACCCTTCCAGAGCTGAGATATCGAAACTCAAAAATTCGACCCGAAAAAAAAAACGACAGTGGTACCCCTTTCGTTTTTTTTTTTGGGCGAAAAATTAAGTTTCTCCAATCTTCTCAAAACTCTGGATTCTGATAGAGGGCCATGAGACTTAAACCTGAGTGCAAAAATGGAGGCTCTAGACCCTTCCAGAGCTGAGATATCGAAACTCAAAATTTCGACCCGAAAAAAAAACGACAGTGGTACCCCTTTCGTTTTTTT